CTACAACAAACAAACAAAAAAAAGGACAAAAAAGCAGCCGAACTAGCAATCCTCAACAACTTTTTAAAGAATCAGCCGAACTAGCAATCCTCAACAACTTTTTAAAGAATCAGCCGAACTAGCAATCCTCAACAACTTTTTAATTTTTACACCAGGAGCTAAAGGTCTGTTTCAGGAAATCACATCCCCAGCATCGGCGGTTTTCATACACCTCCAGTTGGCAGTGTTGTGCATATATTGTACATGAATTGTCAGCTAGTAAGTGTCAAATTGAACTTGTGCTTTAAAATTAGCTTCAGCTAATTTTCCTATGACATAAGCGTTTTTGAAGTTGCGGACCTAAATATTTTCATAAGCACTTTAGAAATTGCGGAGCTAATTTTTGGATTAGCGCTGCCCACCACTGCTGAACACCCCAGCTAGTAATGGGTGAGGCGACATGTTTTTCATGTATGTCTGGAGCATGGCTGCCATCTTAAAAGCAGCCATGTTGGCTGTCTTAATTCAGGGGAAGCATCCTTCAAAATTCACCTGTTTTGGCTGCTTATGTCACTGCCACTGCACCGACTGTGTAGAGCTGGGGTGTCAAACTCATTTTCACAGAGGGGGGCCACATAAGCGTTACGTTGGCCCTCTAAGGGCCATTTACAACTAACTTTGATCTTTCATGTTTAACTTTGACAAAACACGAAACGCCACGTTCCTCATCTCATAGCTATGTCTGAGCACCYCTAACAAACACTAACTGAGCTCTACTCGGTATTTCCTGCATAGTTTTAACACGTTACGAGGACTGAAAAGTACTACATGTACTACTGACAAAATGTGAAATAAATAATACAGAAATGTTATTAAAAGTAAAAAAGGAGAGATTTGCTCATTGATGAGTTGTGATGAGTAGCTGCCATCTTGAATTCTGAACTTTCCCACTCTCCGACAGGGAATTCCCATGCATAATCAACAGGCATTATGGGAGATGTACAGTTTATAGACAATAATGACTTTAAAGCATCCAATTTTGAGACTTTAATACTGTTCGATCCAACTAAATTGCTCAGGGGGCAACAGTTACTTAAAGCCAGCAGCTCAGGGACCCTTATTTTGACACAAGTGACGTAGGGTGTGACCTATGTGGACACAGTCTATGTAGGCTGTGGCGGCTGAATTGGGACACACTCAATGGGCCTCATGCAAAAACATGTTCATATTCTTATCCTAAATTTCTCTTACTTTTGTTCGTACGAAGGGTTCGTA